CCTGTTCCTTTCACAGGCACTTGTGAAAGGCTGAGTGTAAGGTGAGGAAGAGGGCGATACCATGCCGACCTCACAGAACAGTGGAGGCATCACTGACATGACATTAAGTGAGAAATACAGTGAACAGTGTGAATTGGAGGAGCTCTGGGGAAGGGAAGTGGGTTGCAAAGCAGCTTGCAGAAACAGTGCCTGTCTAGAGGCTGAAGCAGCTGAAATTGTGCACTGTATGTGAAATTTGCCACCAGGTTGCATACAGGGGCATCAGCTGAAGCACTGACTTTACATCTCACAGTATCCTTCCATGAAATATATGAAATGCTAAATACTTTGAAGAGTGCTGGTCAAATATCTTCACTGCCGCTCGCAGTGTGCACACTGCAGAGTGTATTTTCATTAGCAGACACTGAATTAAACCAGCTTTGGGATTTTGTGCTTCAATATCTGATCTGATCTCCCATTTTTTAATCGTCCTCGACTGTTATCGTGTGTGGTTAATTGGCTGAGCTACATTAGTGTCTTGAAAGGGAGGACGATCTAATCACCCCAGCAAAGCTTTTTGAGTTAAAGCGGATTGTCACGAAGCCAGCAGCAAACCGGCGGAGTGATGGGGTGTGTTATTAATGGGATGAAGAGTGCGTTGTGCTGCAGTGTCACCTGAATGAGAGCCAGATTACAGAACACCATCCTCCACTGCTGCTGGGCCTCATCCATCTGCCCTGTGTTGGCCTGTGGGCACAAACAGGTTTACGTAATCATGTTGCTCCATCGCACAGTCTCGAGTGTGAATGTGTGAAATCAATTCTCACTGGCAGACAAGATTATTTATTAGTACAGTCTAAATCCTGGAAAGATTTGATAAAGAAAATCACATGTATTGATTGTCAGCTCTTGTTCAATGAAGCTGTATCAATGTCAGTTTATCGTGTAATGTTTTAAAGGTATATTTGTGTTAAAAGACTAGGTGTGTGAGTGTGTTTCCACCCACTGCTGTTGACAGTCTGGATGCCAGTGTCATTTCCAGATTCCCCTTCAGACCCACGAGGGCTGGCACCAAGATAAACACCTCGGAGATCTCCTTGAACACCTCCCAGTGCTAAAAAAACAAAACAAAAAAACTGCACAGTAAAGCTACTGTTTGCTAAAACGCAGTTGGCCCCTTATTTATTAAACTGGTCACTATCTCTTTCCTTTCAGCACTTTTATAGGTGAAAAACACAGCAAGTCATTTCCTGGAGCTTTGTTGAAAGGACATGCCGGTTATATCTGATCAAACCACTCACACACACTCCAGATTTGTGGTCTAATAAATACTAGGACTGCAGTCTCAGAGTGAGCTGGGTGAGTGGTCACTGTGTTCTTATCTAATCACATTCCTTGTGGTCAGATAAGCACCAGTGCTTTCATATGAAGAAAGCAGCAACATTAATAATTTCCCGGGGTTGATGGATTATTTTTGGCAGTGGGAGAGCTGACTACCTCAGAGTAAGACTCCTGCATTTTCATAAATGTGGACACGCTCAAACCAAGTTTAACTTGTGGTTTAATTAATGTTTACAACATTAGTCCAAAGGATTTTCTCCAAGTTAATTGACACAACATTTAACAAAGGTTTGCTATGGTGTTTAGCTAAAACAGACTGCCAGAACATTGACAGTAGCAGCATTTTGCATCATACAGCTACACTATCAACATGATGGTAAAACAGTCTAACTTGTCTGTGTTAGTATATTACTCCGGATTTTGGATTTATGGGTTTAGGCTGTGTATGAATATTTAGGAATGGGTGTATGAATTATCTAATAGTAAATTTAGAACAGCATGTATCCAACTGCAGCAGCACCAGACGTCACTGTCTGTTCAGTCTTTCAGTAGCAGCTGCAACTCAGAGACTAAACTGGATGTGAAGACTCCTCATTTATTTAAACAGAACAATGGTTCAGTCTACTTAAAAGCTTACTTCATTTTAAAAGTGTAAAAGTATGTAATATGCTTCAAATGTTCGTTTGTTGTATCTTTCATTTAGTCTTTAAAAAAAAACTAGCAAGTAAAGTGTTGCCTGTAAGACGG